GGCCCCCCGCGCGGCTGCGGGGCTCTCTTGCCTCCTGGTCCCTGGCCGGCCTCATTGCCGGTGGCAGGTCCGACGGCGGCCTTCGCGGCCGCGACCCTCGACGCTGTGCAGGAGTGTTCTGCAACAGGCGGGCGGGTCGGGTCTAGGGTGACCTTGGACCTTGGCCCGCGGGCCTCAGTTTCCTCAGGCGCGCGTCCGGGCCGAGGGTCGGTTCTCCAGGAGCTGCAGCCGAGGGAGCCCAGCGTCGCCAGCTCGCGCGGTTTCCTGAGAGAATCTGGATGTCGCGCTGTCAGTGCAAAATCTCCAGGTCCTGAAGCGGTGGCCGCCAGTTCTGTGTTCTGTTTCCATTCCTAGGCGGGCCAGAGCCGCGGGGCCGCCACCACCTCCTGCCCCGGCTCCTCCCTAAGGCCTCCTTCGCACCGGGCCTTAGTGAAGCAGGGCCAGGGCCGCAGGTTTGGCGCGCCAAGATGCTCTGACTCTGCTTTCTGGGAGACTCATTCCGGAGCGCATCCGAGTCGGCACTCCTACGAAGGCTCCCCCGTCTGGAAATTAGGACCCACCCCCCCTCCTCTCTTCTCGAGCTGTCTCTTTGTTGCAGACCTTGCTTCGTGCTCCCAAAGATTGGGGTTCATTGAGGGCAGTCACTGTTTGGGGGCCTACTGAAGACTGAAGGTGCCTACTCAGATGATGTTGAGTTGAAAATTCTTCAAAAATGCTTTTGACTGTCATCCATGAGGTCATAAAAATTCGTTCGATATCCTTCAAGTTTTACCTACTTGGGACATAAAGCTTCCTTCCTGCTCCCCTCTTAAGCTCTCAACAGTGCAGAATTTGGGAGGGGGGCTTCCTTATGATGACTAGAATGTTATTGGGCCAGAGATACTTAATCTAGGGGCGGGCTTCATCATAGAGTAACTCTCTTAAAATAGAATGAGGGTGTCACCGAGTGAGCTCCTAAGAACATTCTTTATTTCAGAAAAACAGGCGTGGGAAAGGAATCACAACAGGCGCGGCATTCCACTTAATTTTTTAAGATTTTGTCAACTATCAAAATTAGTTACACTGTGAAATGCTGTTTTTCAACTGTTAAGTCAACAAAGATTAAAAAGAAACACTATTGGTGAGCTAGACAGTAGTTGGATTTAGGTTCTACTTTGCTGGTGGGAAAATAAATTGGTACAATCTCCGTTGAGGGAATTTTAACAATATCCATTAAAACACACATTAAAATTAAAATGATCCAGCAGTTCTGTATATAGGAAATTTTCCTATGATTGCTGCATATATGGCACATCAGTGCAAAATTGTTTGCAACAGCAAACAATTGGAGGAAACCCAGATATTAAGTAAAATAGGTTATCCATACAATGAACTGTGAGAGATATATGAAGTTATATGTAAGAGCTAATAAAAAGGAAGGAAATGTAGATTGACAGATTCTCCTGTGACTCTAAATGCCACCTGGAAGGGTGTGTGGCAAAGTAGAATAATAGTTTCCTCTGGGAGAGGATTTAGTTGGGGCATAGGTAGGAGGGAAATTTAAGTTTCAAAATACACTGTACCTTTTTTGTACTTTCTGAAGTTGAATCACAAGAATATTATGTATTCTAAAATAAGTTTGAGAATTCAATTATTAAATATTTCACACTGACAGAAAAGTACAGAGAATCACATACCATTTCTATTACATCCTAATGTTTCATCTTAATTGATTTTTTTTAAAGACATGAAACATTCATTTTTTTTTTTTTTCTGGAAATAATCATGACCGTGAATGCCTATAATGTGTTTATACCATAACATCCACTGTAAGCAATACTGGACAGTGTTTTGTGTGTTTTCAAACTAAAGGAAATTGTCCTACCTGTATTCCGCAGTGTGCTGTTCTTTCTCTGTGTGGCTTTGAGATTTCTCCTAGTAGGTGACTAGCTTTGAGTTATAGTTGGCTCATTTTAACTGTTGTCTGGTATTCTGAGGAATCACTGTGCCACAACACCTATTCTCCTGAGGATGGACATTTTGGTCATGGCCAGTACTTGCTTTATGAACAAGACCGTGATAGGCAGGCTTGAATTTGTTCTCCAAGCTGTGCTCTTTCAGAGTCAGGAATTGGTTCATTTTTCTTCACACCTCCCTCAGCACCTAGCTTAATTCCTTAAATTGTGGTTGATAAATGTCCTTTGCCTGCCCAAGATGGCAATCTTCCTGTTGTACAGTACTCTCTGTACTTGCAGTCAGGCTGTCCCTTCCAAAGAGGGCAGAGGGGCTGCTGTGCTCACAGTGGATGAGAACCTGCGGGGGGTAGGGGTGGGGGCTTGATGGCTGTTTGGGACAGTCCTCATAGCCACCCCCAGAGGAGATGCTCTTGACTGCTTGGTGGTTGTGCTGAGGAGGAAGCTGATGCTTGGCGATAAGAGCTAAGTTTCCAGAGTTGCATTGTTGGCAAGTGGAGCAACTAGCCATGGGGTTTTGAGATGTGAGAGACACAGCCCTAGCCCTCCCCTCAAGGAGACAGAATCTCCTTGTCTGGGTAGATAGAATAACTTTAGTGGCGGAGCAGGCCTTTAGTGTTCTCAATGCAGTGATAGAGGGAGAAGTGATTGAACTAGACCTGATCAATTTGGGGTTATAAGACAGAAAGGCCTAGGAGGGAGTCTGAAGGTGTTCAGAGGATAACAGGTGTCCCTTTTGGTCAAAGGGCTAGTGACAAAGTACAGGGAAAGGAGTGCTTTGAGCTAGATCATGGAGAGCCCCAAGTAGGAGGCAGAGAGCTATAGTAGAAGTCAGGTGGTACACTCAGTGCATTTTGGGGAGCTGGGGAGGATGTGGCAGTAGGTAAGAAACTGGTTGGGGCATCATTACTATGATCTGACCCAAATTGGTGGCTGTGGAGGAATAAGGGAAGGCCACATGAGATGTCAGAATGGCACTAGAGCATCTGCTAGAATGCAAGAGATGGAAAGAAAAAGATTATTGAGACCATAAGGTTTCTGACATGGAAATGGTAGTTGTACCAGTAACAAAGCTAGACTAACTTGGAGGGCTGCTGGCTATATTAGGTGTCAAGTTGCAGGTGCAATGGGGAATGCAGTGGGAAGGCTCTTGGGAAAGAAGAGTGGGCTGGGCAGGTGTGTTGGCTGAAGGAAAGAGGTCACAAAAGGGCAAAATGCCTCAGGCAAGAGAGGTTGGTTTGTAAGGGGTATATGCCTTGGCTTCACATGAGGGTGGGGAAGGAGTGAGTGAGTGAGAAGAGCCAGACTGAGAGGCCAGCACAGAGGAGAACTGAGCCATGTTGGTTGGGAAGCAGTGGAGGGTTCATAGGAAACAGGTCCCGGGGCGGAGAGGAGGAGGCAATGGGGACGTGCTCCTGAGCCCCAGTTATGAGAAGGGAGGCTGCTTCTTTTTGGTAAGTTATGAGTAGAATCTGTTTTTCATTTTTCCTTGTAAAGATACAGTAGGGTATTAGAGAAGAAACAAATCTGGGGGAGTTGATAGGGGAGTAGCAGGAAGTGGGGAAGATAGAGATGTTCATGGCCCTGTGGCAGGTGGCCCCTAGGCTTCTGCCCCCTGCTGGCCAGCTGGCTGGCTGACTGGCTGGTTGACTGTGCTGTGCCCTGGAGAGTGTGAAGCTTGGCTACAGTGCGTGGTGTGGGACTAGCTGCCCCCTGACCCAGAGCAGCCAGCTGTCCATGGTTGCTTTTGGTTGATTAGGAGTGGATGGCAGAAGTGTGTTTGAAGTAGGTTTGTTTTATTGATTAGTTTTTGAGCCTCCTGTTCAAATCTTTTTTTTTTTTTAACATACTGACTCAAGTATTAGAAAGTAACCTTGAATTTGAAACATGATGCAGATGATCCCATATTTGCACCAAGTCTAGTCAAAGTTACTGTGCTTGACTTTCAGAATCTCAGTAAAAAAAAGGCAGGTCCTGGACCCTTCCCTGGGTCTCCCGACCACCACTCAGGCCTGTTGTAATATGTGCCAGGCACTTTGCTAAGCCTTGTACATGTGTGTTTTATATAATGCATCTCCACATAACATCCCAATAAAGTAGCTGCTGTGATTATCACCGTTTTCTAGGTAAGTAAGTTGGCTCAAAGAGGAGAAGTCACTTATCTGAGACCACACACTTAGTGAGCAGTGTGTATATTTGGGAGAGGGCACAGATTTGAGTCTAGATCAGTCTGCGTCCAAACACATATTCTTATTGCCCTACATATAGACCATCTAAGTCAGCTGTCCTCAAACTATTCCCAACCTTTTTGGCACCAGGGACCAGTGCTCCTATGAGAATCTAATCCCTGATGATCTGAAGTGGAGCTGAGGCAGTGCTAGGGCCGGGGAGCAGCTGCCAATACAGATGAAGCTTCACTCACTCCACCACTCACCTCCTGCTGTGTGGCCAAGTTCCTACAGGACATATACAACCCCACCCTCCCACCCCTCTAAGTTATGCAAAACTTGCTTTTAATGAGGTTCCAGGAAAGCAAGTTATGCCTTTAGATAACAGACCCCAATCCTTGTTACACATCTATTAACACATCCATCTATAGAGACTAACTCTGCATTTGCTTTAAGGACCTTTACGGAGATGGACCTGAGGCAGGAGGAGGGAAAAAGAGTAACGTTCTTCCCTGGAGAATGGGGGTGCAATTTCTTTACCAAAAAAGTTGTCACCCAGGTCATGAGAGAGAACGATGTGACAGTAACTACCTTTATGTCCCAGGATTATGAGAGAAGACAGTAGTTGTTCACATTAGTTGTTCTTGGCAAAGATCCCACCTCTTTAATATCGTTAAAAATGATATTAGCTACTTTAAAGATCCTGGGACAAACGTGGAGAACCACATGCCTATTGTAATTTTTTTTCTCTTTTTTTTTTTTTCCCTCCTCTTTAATTCCACCCCTCACTTCCACCCCTGACCTATGGATGTTGCTGTTTCCCCTTCATAACTGGATCCCTGAAGGTGGGGCGTCACCTCCCGCACACTTGTGGTGTGCAGCCGGGTTATGGTCCTTGGCTCCACCTGGGGCGCGAACCCAGGACCTTCTGCATGTAAAGCAGATGTGCTAACCACTACACTGTGGAACCACCCGCCTATTGTTATTTTTATGCATTCATTCTTGCATGGAGAAACCCACTTCTGTTCTTGCTCAATGGTAGAGAGGAAGAGCTCTTGAGAACCTGGTCTGTCCTCATGCTTCATGTTCATCTTTACTATTTCCCTTTTTTCAGTTGAGGAACCTGAGACTCAGGTTGGTCATGCGGTGAATCCATGGTAGGGCGGGCGCTGCAGTTCAGGTTTGTCTGTCTCTAGAACTCTTCATTTCACAGCGATGCCAAAAGAGATACAGTGGGAGGAAGACTCTTGGCAATGAAGGGACACAGGTCATCAGGAAGTCCCAAGTTTGGTCAAGCAGTGGGAAGGGAGAGGGAATTAGGGCTTTTGAGACTACAGGGAAAGTATAGGTAAGCTGGAGGGAGGAACAGGAGCTCCATGCGGAGCAGGTGCCACAGGAAGCAGAGCTGGCCAGTTGTGCAGGATGTGGCATTGCCTCCCTGGCTCATTCCCTGTCCCCTCTGTCTTACCAGCTGACGGCCGAGGTGGTGCAGTCTGGTGTGGTGGTCAGGATGGCAGAGGAGCAGGAGTTCACCCAGCTGTGCAAGTTGCCCGTGCAGCCCTCACACCCACACTGCGTCAACAACACCTACCGGAGTGCACAGCACTCCCAGGCCCTGCTCAGGGGGCTGCTGGCTCTCCGGGACAGCGGCATCCTCTTCGACGTTGTCCTGGTAGTAGAAGGGAGACATATCGAGGCGCATCGCATCCTTCTGGCTGCGTCCTGTGATTATTTCAGGTGAGTTTCATACACTTGTTCTCATAAGTAAAATAACAGGTAATCTCGCTTCCCTGGGTAGATGTGTTAGCACTGATGGTTATTGGGCTGGAGGGGCCAGCCAGAAGCCGCCACATGCCTCCCTTATGCTAAGCTGTTCCCACTACTTATTTGGCAAGAGAAATAGAAGGAGTCTTAGGGTTTTTCTTTCAGCTGTCCCTTTTCTAGGGCATGTTCTCCTTTTTCTTTGAGAGATGATGTGCTTGGCTTCACTTATAATATTGTACCTTATAAGATGAATTTTCTGCTATAAGTACAATATCTTGGTATAAAACAGATTTTTCTTTCGACTTCACTCTGGCTTCCCAACATTTCATTTTGAAAAAATTCAAATCTGGAAAAGTTGAAAGAGTGGTATTATGAACACCTGAATACTGATTGTTAACATTTTGTAATATTTACTTTCTCTCCACTCAAACACACACCTTTTTAAAAGACATTATGACACTTTATGCCTCAGTCTTTCAGTGCCCCCCCACCAATGTTCTTGTAATGACAGTTGGAAGTTCACATGAGCCCTGGTCACTTCTCAGGACCTATGATTGCTGTGGATGCTGAAGCCAGGGCTGGTCGAATAGTCCTGTACACCCATGGTCCACACAGCTACATGGTGTGCGGAGTCACCCCTTCTGTGCCCTTGCCTCGCCATCCACCTCCTGCCTCACACCCCCTCACCCCTCAAGTCTCAGTCTGTGACCCTCTGGGGTTGTTCGTGGCCTCCTGCATGACCCCATCGCAGCAGTTGGCACACCGGGCGGAATTGGTGCCACTGCTCCTATTTTGCACAGGCAAGATGAGGCTCAGAGGGAGTGAGTCCCACCCATGGCCACCTAAGTCCTTTCATTTAGTTCCAATTCTGTTTAATTCTGTTTTGTCTTCAAATCTTGGTCATAGTTCTCGCTTTTTGATTTTAGGAACCATCAAAATATTTATTTATGGTTTAAGTGCTTTCTGGTCTCCAGAGGAGTTTATGGAGAGTGTGACCCAGTGGCGCCTTGGGGCAGACATGTGCAGGGACAGCAGTGTCTTTTCATTTCATGTCAGGGGGTTCAGCTGAGGCCTTCATGAGCTTTGAGATAACATATAGGACTGTGGTTGGGGTGGATTGCTGAAAGCCACCTGCTCAGAAGGCCCAGCACTGTGACCCTCTCAGCAGAGGGACAGCCAGCTTAGGGTCTGTGTGGAAGAGGCCCACAGGGGCTGTAGAGCCAGCAGGACCTCCTTGGTATACCCTCGAAGCCCTTCAGGCTGGAGTTCCTTTCCCCATGCAGGCTTTCCTGACTCACTGTCACACCATTCTTTTTAAAGGACAGTTACAGACACCACTTTTTTCTATTGGATAAAAAGCCTATTATGGCTTTCCACATCCTCCAGGAGTGATTCCTAGCCCGTTCCACAGCCACTGTCAGGTGGGCCTCTGACAGGAGGTGTTCCCCTCTCAGACATGGTCACTCTGCATGCCAGCACACCCTTTCATTGGGAATGGGGGGAATGACAGCAACTTTGGGTGAATCTAGACTCATCACAGATGTGTGTGTGTGTGTACATACATATATATACACATGAAAGAGATTATTCCCAAGCTTTAGCATGTTTATTATTATTTGTTTCAGTTGATTCAGGTTAAAATGATAAAGGACTATTTTTTTTCCCAGTAAGACTGGTGAAAATATGAAAGCTTTGTAATGTCAGGTGTGGGCAAGGGTAGAGAAAAAGGGCTTTGGAGGGTGGGTTGGCCTGTAGCCTGGGCCCTCAGTAGACATCTAGGTGTCTATCCTGTGGGATGTCCTGCCAGGTGCTGAGCAATCCAGTGCAGGGGGCCTGACAGTGGTCCTGTTTTACGTGGGTGTCTAGTATAGCTGTTAGTAAACAGCTGGGCCAGTACCTGCTGAGAGGGAGGGTGGGTGCTGTCCATTAGGGAGTGGGAAAGTACAGGAGAATGAAGAACTGAATCACTCTTCATGTGAGATATGCTTCTCTGTCTCCCCAGAGCTGAATCAATTTTGAGATGTAAAGTTTTATGCGCCTTGTGTGGTGACACAGGGTTGAGAATCACTGTCCTGAAGCTGTGTAGGTTCTCACACCAGTCTTCTCTAGAAGACTGTTTGCCCATCTGTCCTCCTTAGGGGAGACCTACATCTGTCCTCCTTAGGGGAGACCTACAGCAAGGTCTCCTGTTGTCTGGTCATGCTCCAGGCTTTCTTGCCTCTGTGCTTTTGATGTTACTCTCAGCAGCACCACCCTTTTCTGCCTTTCCTTCCCTGTAGAGCATTATCTTCCTTTCAGGCCCTGTGGAAGTGCCTTCTCTCTGGGGAGCCTTCTCTAGTTGTCCCTCACCTTTTCCCAGCCTCTGGCTCTCACAGCCAGCTCCTCCCTGCAGAAAGCTGACTCCTTGGGAGCAGAGAGTTGGATTGCCCTTGTCCTATGAGGTGCTCCTGTGCAGGAAGCCTCCATTGGTGTGCACTCATGCATAGTTTAGGAATCGAATGGTCAGACCACATCTTAGGTCTTCCTTTTTTGGCTTGTGTTAATAACTGTCCATTACACGTTTCTTTTGGCTCCATGACCCTGTGCTCACCTTACTGTCTACTTTTCCTGAGGTGATTCCTGCACTTCTCCCCACCCCTGTATGTCAGAGGGACCCAAGGGCTCTGTCCTGTATACAGCCTCCCTGGGCCTTCTCATCCCTCCCTTAGTTTCCATACTATCTGTGAATTTATAGACTACTTTGCTCAACTTCGTGCCTGTGATTTTGAAAATTTGGATAAAATTTTATAGAAAATATAAATTGACATAACTTTACTCCCAGAAGAGGAAATTATATTTCCACAAAAGTAAGAAGCCCGGATGTGTCTCAGTCGTACCTTTTAGGAATAGACTCATATGCTATTTAGATTTTTTTTTAGAGCAGAGAAAAAGGAAGATTCCAATTTTTTTTAATGAAAGTTATATAACAGTATCAAAATTGGACATACAGAAGACACAGAAGGAAAAGTACAGCTGATTTATGAATGACGGTGTGAAATCTTCAGTGAGACCTGGGCACTTGGAGTTCCACTGAGCCTAATGTCACTGCAGAGCAGCAGAACCTGGCCCTGTAGGGCTTTGTTCTGAAATGAAAGCCAGTTCCATGTTAGAGAATCTTTCTTACAATGCAAGGCATTAATCAAAGGTGACCCAGCATATAACCATTTGCAGACACAGTGAGTGGGCACGTGATAACATTCAGCGTCTATTCCCGCAGCTGAAATGTGTTTGAATAGGTGGGAAAATAGTGAAGTGACACATTACCCCTGCTCTCTCTGCCACTAACGTTTAAAACTATTTTTAAAAGTTCCTATTCATTCATATACTATTTTGCAAATACAAGTCCATAATTCTGAAACCTCAAAAACGCTAAAATTGGATGTTTTTGTTGTTTGTTGCTGAACTTCATAAGTGTATTCTGTAGGTCTCCCAGAGCTGTTTTTGTTTGTGGATAAGCTGTCTAGTTGTTGATTTCTGTGGGAAGAGGTGGAAGCTATGTTCTACATCACCATTTTTTCTGGTATTTTACATACATATATGTGTGTATGTATGTGTGTGTGTGTGTGTGTGTGTGTGTGTGTGTATTTATATATAAAATTTTGGCACAAATTAATTAAACTCAAAACCCCCTGAATTGATGTGAGGATAATATTTTTTTTATCCTCCTTGGTGTGAATCATTATATATTTTTCTTTGGAAATATTAAGGTGTTTGGATATGAGGTACTGACCTAGACTCTACAGGGGTGTGACTTTCTGTATGGCACAGGTACAGTGTTTCTCCAGCTGAAACCTGAATTCTGAAACACACCTAGCCTCAAAGGTTTGGAAGAGGAATAGGGGCCTGAACAAGCCGACGCAGGAAATGTACCTCCCACTGTACATAAGAGGCAGCTCACTGGCATCTTGTGACATCTAGTTGTGACATCTTGGCAGTCGAGGTGGCCCTCATTCTCTTTGTGCTGCAGAGTGTTCTGTGTTGTCTGTGTCCTCCACTTATTTGTTCAGTCCCCTGATATTGCATACTCGGTGAACATTCTTTTTTTTTTTTTAATTGTGATTTAAAAAACATGAAATTTACCATCTTAACTATTTTTAAGTGTACAGCTCAGTAATGTTAAAATATATTCACAGTCTACGACCATGCTACCCTGAACAAGTCTGATCCTGTCTAATCTTGGAAACTAAGCAGGGTTGGGCCTGATTAGTACTTAGATGGGAGACCACCTAGGAAAACCAGGTGCTGTAGGTGTAAAAAATAAAATTAAAAAAAAAATAAGGAAAATATATTCACACTGTTGTGTATCCAATCTTCAGAACTTTTTCATCTTGCAAAACTAAAACTCTGTCTCCATTAAACAATAACTCCCCATTCCCTTCTCCCCCCAGTCCTTGGTAATCACCATTCTTTCTGTTTCTATTAATTTGATGACTCAAGGAAGCTCTTATAAGTGGAATCATATTTGCCCTTTTGCAACTGGCCTCTTAGCATAATGTTTTCAAGATTTATCCACATTGAAGCGTGTGTTGGAATTTCCTTTTTAAGGCTGAATAATATTCCATTGTGTGTTAAGCCGTGTTTTATGTAGCCATTCACCTGTCAGTGGACACGTGGATTGTTTCTACCTGTTAGCTGTTGTGAATAATGCTGTTAGGAACATGGGTGTACAAGTATCTCTTTGAAAGCTGCTTTCAATTCTTTTAGATATATACCCAGAAGTGAAATTATTGGATAATGTGGTAATTCTGTGTTTAGTTTCTTGAGGAGCTGCCATACTGTTTTCCACAGCAGCTGTGCTATTTTACATTTCCACCAGCAATGCACAAGGGTTCCAAATTTCTCCACATCCTTACCAACACTTATTTGTTTTTGATAGTGACCATCCTACTGGGTATGAGGTGTGAACGTCTTTTAAAATTTTTTTTCTCTTTTAAGTTTTTATTTTTATTTAATTTCAGAGTTAACAGAAAAGTAGTAAGACTGTGATAAAGAATTAAACATCTATAGTTGGTTAAAAACAACAAAAAAAGAGTGGACATGTATTTTATTTTTCTTTCAGCCTCTTTTTCCCTCCCTAACTCATTTTGAAAGATGTCAGTCCTACCAAAAAGTTGAAATATAGGTACATGAACAGCTGCACCCTTCACCTAGATTGATGAGTTATTAACATTTTCCATATTTACTTCAGAGTAAGTTGCAGATATGACAGTTTTTCTTGAAATACTTCAATGTGCTTCTTAAGAATAATGACTTTCTCTAACATATCTATAATACCATTATATATCTAAGAAAATCTATAATCATTCCATAATTTAATCTGATATTGAGTTCATACTAAAAATTTCTTAATTGTCCCCAAAATGCCTTATGTCTCTCCCCTCTCCGCTCCATTCAGGATCCAGTCAAGGTTCACGCATTTCATGGATCCTTTCTTAAGGTGAGAAAATATACCTGAATTAATCTAAGACTCACACCCTGCTGGAATGGAGGAGTCAGTGCCCCAGCGTTGCTGTCCTATCTGTTGTGAGTGTGGTCCTAGAGGTGCCAGGGTACACAATAGCACAGTCCTAGAAAGTTCAGAGCTTGTCAGATTGCCCTACAGAGTGAGTCAAAATACCTTGGCACATGGGAGAGCGCCCCGAGGGGCTGCATGTGAAGTCAAATATTTCGGAATAAATGAAACATACATGTGACAGATGTGTGGGGGGATGACTTGCAAGACCTCCAAAGAGACCCAGAGGCTGGCTTGACAGAGACAGGCCCACTGTGTCCATTACAGAAATGATAGTTCTTTCCACAACAGTCTAGATATTTGGCATGTTCCCAATAAAAATACCAAGAAGGTTTATTGGGAAGGATTATACAAACTTATTTTAAAGTTCAAATTTTAAAAAGCAGGTAGTGGCCAGGAAATTGTGGAACAAGGTATAATGAAAGACTGGCCCTACTCTATGTTGATACATATTACAAAGCTATAATAACTGAAACTGTGCTCCTGGTACATGGAGACAGAAAGAGTATTGGAAAAGGATAGGGAGTTTGGAAACACACAAACCCATCAGGAACTTCATGTGTGATAAAGATGACATTCCAGGTAGGGGAGTGACAATGGGGATACCATCTGGGAAAACAAAGTTGAACCCTTGCTTCACACCTTGTACCCAAATAAATTTCAGGTGGCTCAGCCATTTTAAATGTGAAAGATTAAATGAAAAAAAAAAAAAAAAAAAAAACCTAAAGGAAAACATGGGGAAATGTTTTTTGAATATAATTCCAGAAGTAGAAAGCTTTTCTAAGTTTGACACAAACCTCACAGGCAAAGAAATTATAAACTTCCTTTCAAACACTCAAACTTCTTCATGGCAAAAAGCATCATAAAATGAAAAGGTTTGAGATAGAGAAAAAAATTCAACTCATCCAAAAAATGTTGCTACAAATTGATAAGACAGAGTCTAATAGAAAATGGGCAAGGAATCTAGACTATTCAGAGAATAATATGGAAATGGCTCGTAAACATTTGATAAGATTATCTGTCCCTTTGGTTATAAATTTTCTCCCTTATAAGGTTAATAGCATGTGGGCAGTACTGTCAAAGTTTAACTATATATAAAGCCTTTGTCCCAGCAATTGCTTTTGTAGGAATTAATCCTGGTAGGAACATAAGCAAAAAGTCATGGGGGTAGGGCCATCCATTGGGTGAAATAATGGGAGATTAGAATAACCCCAACAGGAGCAGGTTAAATCAATTATGACAGCCTTTACAGGGAGAGGGGCAGCACTAAGTAGACTGATAATGGAACATTTGCGGGGTGTTTTAAGTCAACACAGTTCAGATATATGGACTGCCTCTGGTGATAGTGCTGCCCTGAAGAGGAGAACAGATGACTGGCAGTAGAGGAGGGAGAGGCTTACACCCTTGCACATATTTTAAGTTTCATACTGTATATGTATATTAACCTAGTTGAAAAATAAACTATAAAAATAGCTACTCATCTCCGTGTAACACTGTCATATTTTAGCCCCGATACCTCCCCTGACCACCAGCCTCTTCTCTCTGAACACCTGATTAACTCTCCACTTGGATGCCTCAGGTATCTCACACTGATGGCACCTTGATGGGACTCTCACTGCCCTCTTTGACCTTGTTCCTCTCAAGTCCCTGACTGCCCAGCTGCTGTGCCATGACCCCTTCCAAGGGCCCCGATTCCTCCCATGCTCTGTTAGAATCACTTGGTAAGCATGTTCTCTCAACTGCAGCTCTCCAGCCGTATGGCCCTCTCCAGGGCTGGAGGAACCTTCCTGCCTCTTTCCAGCCCCTCCATTCTGGCCAACAAGCACCTGAGTCAGTCAGCTCATGTCACTCTCCTGCATAAAATTCCCAGGCAGCTTCTCACCATGCTTAGTTTTCACTTCAGACTACCCTGTCCTCAGAGTAGCAGGACCCGGCCTTATCTCACCTCCAGCTCAGTTCCTCCTTGCCCTGGTTGCCTTGCATACCAAGCTTATCCTTGCCTGGGCCTTGGATGCTGTCCATCTGGAATGCTGTCCCCACCTGGAATGGCTGGTAAGGTGCTGCCTAGTCTCATCTCAGTTCCTCTGAATGGGCCGTCCCTGCCCTCATACTCTCCATCCACTCTGCTCTCCCAGCCACTCTCTCCTCAATTAGATGCCTTGTTGAGTTACTTCCCCGCACTTCCACAGTCTGAAATACCTTGTTTCTTTGTTGTTTGTTGTCCTCTGTGTATGTAGGAACTTGCCACTTAACTGTTACTTCTGCTCTTTGAATGGTACCTGGAATTTAGTAGGTGCTCAGTAAATATATATTGGACAGAATGACTTACTGTTTCCCATTCATTATTCTTTCATAACACACTCTGGACTGCTACTGTGATCCAAGAAGCATACTAGTGAATGCAGCAGAAAGCAAGCCAGACATGTTCCATGCTCCCAGGAGGCTCACATGTGACTCCCTGTTGCACATGAAATAGGAGACAGAATAATTCCTAGGGTGGCTACCCAAACTTGATCAGGAGCTTGTGGATGCCTTTTGTGGGATGACTCAGTGCTCAGAGCAAGCCAGTGTCCTGTTGCACACTGGTACGGGGTCAGCCTGCTCCTTGCTCCGGATGCTCACGCTCTTTGCAACTTGGGCCGCTGTCCTGATTAGAATAACTCCTCTGTCTGTATCTTCACTTTTCAGAGGAATGTTTGCTGGGGGCTTGAAGGAGATGGAGCAGGAAGAGGTCCTCATCCACGGTGTGTCTTACAATGCCATGTGCCAAATCCTGCATTTCATATACACCTCCGAGCTGGAACTCAGCCTGAGCAATGTTCAGGAGACACTGGTTGCCGCCTGCCAGCTTCAGGTGAGTCTTACCTTGTTGGAGCAAGGCAGACCGGTAGCCAGACAGGGTTTCCCTGGGCGCCCACTGGGCAGTGGTGCGAGGGTGGGTCAGGCAGGCAAGGACACCAGGCAGTTAAGGGAGACAAGCCGGGTGGACGTTCTCTGATGGTGCTTGGGTGAGCCAGCTCTAGGTGCTGAAGGGCTGCTCCGAAGGCCTTCAGGCCCAGGTTCCTCCTCTGCCTTTGCCCTCTGCTCCTCTACTGGTTCCTTCCCCTCTGCCTGGGTCTCCCTGCCACTGAAAAGATCCCACATGTAAACAAGCAGTGAAGCCGAGTGTGTGATGTTCTGTGTGTGCCGATGCCTGGTGAAGCTGAGCTCCCCCAACTGTTACTGCCTAGGCCCTTTCTGCTCATCCTCTCTATTTGGTCTCATCAATCTCTGAAACTGCTCTCACCTTTGTGTTTGAACTTTAAATACTTGTTTTTCTACAGAATTCAAAAAGTTTTTGAGGCTTTGACAGTGTGACTTATATTTTAGAAGACTGTAGTGATTCTTGGTGGTGTTGGGGCAGTTATCCAGGCTGGGCCTGCACATGCTCTGTCGGACAGCCTGATCGGGCTTGAGAGACATCCGTTCCCACATTTCTTTTTTCTTTTTTATTATTTTTGTATTCTGCACACTCACAAAGACGTAAAAGAAAATCACTGAAACTTAAATATGAAAGAATGCAATTAAATCCACAATTTTATACATTTATCTGACTCACATGACAGTGAAAAATCCCCAAGTATGAAAAATACTGTACTCTTGCCTGCACGTCCTTCTCTTCTGTGTGCTTATGTGCAACACACTATTTCTTCGAATAAATGCATCCTCGTTCTTATTCTTTAGTTTTCCATTTATGTATTCCATCTCCTCCAAGGCTGTATTCCTGTAGCCATCCAGGCAAGCCAGGACCCCTTGATAATTCACTCCAGAATTTAAATTTACCACAACTGGTCATGCAGTGATTTGCTTTAAGAAGTCACTGGGAGTTTGCTCCCGCAGACTCGTTTTAATAGTCCTGATCAGAAATTTGAGAGGCAGGAAATCTGAATTCTAATGCTAGCTCTGCTACTTAATTAGCTCTGTGCCTTGGATAACTCATCATTTCACCTCTCAAGCCCCTGGATTCCATATCTGGTAGCCAGGTTTCAGAACCCCCACTCTAGGCACCCCTCAGGCCTGGCCTCCACCAACAGAAGGGGCTTCTCACATTTCTTAAAAGTGAAACTAAATGCTATGTTGATTTCATTATCCTGACCTTTTTTCAGGTCAGAGCGCATTTGGGGCACTCAGAAAAAATTCAAGTCATAGGAAAACCAACCAATTCAGGGACATGTGAAGGCCCTGCCCTGCGTGGCCTGACCATGGCAGCTCCCTGTGCCATGACCTGCAGAGCGATGCATGGGAGGCACTCCTCCTCTGCTTGTTGGGTTGGTTCGAGTGGAATTTGTCTAGCTGTACATGATGGGTAGATGGAGTTGAGCTAGGGCGGCCTTTATGACAGAAGACTTTCCCGCTGCCTTTTATTCAGAGATCTCTTTTGTCCCCACATTTTGGTCATTGTTATTGGGGACCCCTCATCCAGTTCTTACAACTCTTAACTTCTGTATTTAGTTGCCTCCAGTTCTCCACCCAGGGGCTCACCATCAGTGGCATCTCATCCTCCTTACTGAATGCTCCTGTCCCCACTCCCCTGGTCTATGTCTCATGACCATTTTGCCAGAGCCTCCATGTTTCCTTGAGCCCTTCCATCTTCATTCCCTGTGTCCAGGTTTGGATAAGTCATCCTTGTAAATGTTACCTGTAGCTATTTCTGTGCTCTGTTTTCATGTCCTCACCTTTATCTTGGCCACCACCTCTCCATCTATACCTCCCAGCTGGTCTCTTTTGTCTTTCTTCTCTGACTCCATCATGTACACCGTCACCAAACCATCTTGCCAAACACTGCTTTCCCTCTCCCACCCATCAGCTCAGAGACCTGCCATCTCCCTGGGTCACTCACGGCAGAAGTTTGGCCAGTGCTCCTTAGCGTCTTAATGTCTCCAAGGCCATTTTGGGGTGCTACATGGGAGAGGGAGCTCCCACTTTACCTCAAGCAGCCTAGCTTTGTTTCCTTAATATAGTGGGCTTCTGTGCAGTGATGCTTTTAAAGCAAGTTTTATTTGGCATAACAGTTCCGAGTCCCTAGGCCCACCTGATCATGTTTGTTAGTGTAGCCACTGGTTGTGGGGGGCTTGCCCCCATGTGCTGTGCTCTGCGCCAGTTTAGGATCAGACACCTCATGGACCTGGGTTTGAATCCCAGTGAGATTTTCCCCCTGAGTCACCCCCAGCAAATGAGTTCCCTCTTCCAAGCCTCTTATGGTGCTCCTGCATGGTGGGCCCAGGGTGATTCCTCTGTGAGATTGTACCCAGCAGAGGGCTTGCTGCTCTGACAATGAGGATGGGAAGGAGAAGGCAACACGGTCCTTGTGCAGGAGACTTGGGTTCTTCAGAAACTGCTTTTCACAACCACTCAGGGCTCTTTGCTCTCATCTTCTACCCAGAACCTGGTCCTAGATGTCCTGCCCACGACAAATTGGTAGTGGTATTTCAGGAAGAAAAAGCAAAGCAGAAGCGAGGGCTAAAGGAGAAAAACAGATGGTCAGGTGAAGACTTTTGAACCTATCAAAGCACTCTGGGGACATTCTATGTGGGGAAACACATGCCTGGCACTTTTCAGGTTACCATTCAGCCCTTAACATATCACCTGGCAAGCACTAAATGTCTTGAATTAGACAAAATAAAAAATATTTTAAACGTTTATTAATAAACTTTAGATGCCAGCAGAATTATAGTATGTGCACTAGTCAATCTGTTGATGATGCTGGTTAAGTTAGGTATTCCTGTTTTTAGAGAAATTCCAAAATCCTGTGTTTTCTGAAGAATTTAGCAGTACCTGGGCAGCTTTCTCAAGAGCCTTTAACCTCTGTCTCCTTTATCTGTCATGCTTTGGTTATCTAATCATAGGGTGCCCTTTAAACCCGTGGCCCAGTTCTGAGCTCCCACCTAAGCGCAGTCCTCTCTCTTACTCTCCTTCTAACCTCCTTGTTCTTTTGGGTGGTTGGGAAGGGGAAGGTCCAGGCTACCTGGGAGCCCCCTTTCTGCGTCGTCCTCTGCCCAGGTAGGATGGTTTCCAGCTTTTCAAGAGCTCTGAGTCAGGTTCCCAGGATGGGTGCTGGGCAAGTGTCTAGGTTTGCCCTGTTGGTGGTTCTTAGTGCGTGGGTGGTTTGGGGTCCTTCTGGGACGAGGTGGGTTCCCTGGCCCCGAAGCTTTGGCTGGTCCTTCGGTTGTGGGGATTGTGGCAGGAATAAGGAGTTGAGTGTCTTCTAGAGAGCTGGGAGTGGGAGGTGGAGGAAGGTTCTGGGTACATTCCCAACCAAGGACAGTGACATGGTGGCCATTGTGCTGCTTCTGGCTTCTCTGGAGATCTAGTACTTTTGATCTAAAAGACAACTGACACGTATCAAGGGCCCACTCTGTGCTGGGAAGATCCTATGCATGATGTCGTTTGTAATTTTGCTTCTCTACTTGTCCCTACATTATAGATGAGGAAACTGAGGCTCAGAGAGGTTAAGAGCATTCCTCAGATTGCTTCTGAGCCGGGATTTAAACCCAGTCCGTTTGTAGTGAGCCACAGTTGTCTCTAGTGTTGAGGAAGCAGCCGCACCAGCCTTCACACCTGGAAAGTTGGGGTTGGTTGGGGTGGACCCACTACAGAGGATAGCCACATATCAGCCGACATTGTCTTCTATGCCGTTTCCCAGGCTGATGGGTCTTATTCTCTTCATAGATCCCAGAAATCATCCATTTCTGTTGTGATTTCCTCATGTCCTGGGTGGACGAGGAGAACATCCTTGATGTCTACCGACTGGCAGAGCTGTTTGACTTGAGCCGTCTAACAGAGCAGCTTGATACCTACATCCTCAAAAACTTTGTGGCCTTCTCAAGGACTGACAAGTACCGCCAGCTTCCCCTGGAGAAGGTCTACTCCCTCCTCAGCAGCAACCGCCTGGAGGTCTCCTGCGAGAATGAGGTGTACGAGGGTGCCCTGCTCTACCATTATACTCTGGAGCAGGTGCAGGCCGACCAGATCTCACTGCATGAGCCCCCCAAGCTCCTTGAGACGGTGCGGTTTCCCCTAATGGAAGCTGAGGTCCTCCAGCGGCTGCACGACAAGCTGGACCCCAGCCCGCTGAGGGACACAGTAGCCAGTGCTCTCATGTACCACAGGAACGAGAGCCTGCAGCCCAGCCTGCAGGGCCCGCAGACGGAGCTGCGGTCAGACTTCCAGTGTGTCGTGGGCTTTGGGGGCATTCATTCCACACCGTCCACTGTCCTCAGCGACCAGGCCAAGTACCTGAACCCCCTGCTGGGAGAGTGGAAGCACTTCACTGCTTCCCTGGCCCCCCGCATGTCCAACCAGGGCATTGCGGTGCTCAACAACTTCGTGTACCTGATCGGAGGGGACAACAATGTCCAGGGGTTCCGTGCTGAGTCCCGATGCTGGAGGTAAGAAAGGGCCCCTGGCCTTGCCTTGGTCTGCTGGTGATGCTGTTGTGCAGGAGTCGTGGGCTCAGAAGGCTGGTTAGGGAGTGGGTTCTGCATGGGCACACGATCACGGGCCAAGGCGTTTGGCTTTTTAAATTAAACTTGTGGCTTATCAGGTGTACCTCTGTTTGTGAAATAAAGTCTGGATTAATTCAGAGAATGCAGAGGGCAGTGAGATGAGGAAAAGGGACTCTGAATGCTTTATTTCATTCTTGTCTACTTCCCTTTCTCACCCTGGATCACCCCTGTTATCTTGGTGAGGAGCTGGGTTGTGATGGTACTGTGGGCTGAGCACAGGAGAGGGGAGCCGATAGCAGGAAGGGCAGTTGGGCCTCAGAAGGAGGGGACCTAGGAGCTGGGAGTACTGGACAGGGCAGCTGCCCGCCCCTTTCATTGTGCCCTCTCTTGAGCTTTGACATGTCTTGTCCCAGTTTCCCTTTGCATGTCTCCTTTTGCTCTTCTGACCACAAGCCTGTGGTAGAGGACCGTTTCCTGTTGTTGCTGTTCTGCTGAGTGCAGTCCTCAGTCCAGGGGAGCAACAAAGGCCGACAGGCATCTCTGTGCCTCATGCCACATACCTGCTTCCTGCCACCCCACTCTGTCATCAGCCATGTGCTGGGCACGAGGTCCCTGGAAGAGGCAGTTTTCTGAGAGGGGGTTTTATGGGCTGCCATGGTCTGTAGAGGCCTCAGCTCTGTCAGTCTATGAGGTTGGGATCTCACAAATCCATTTCTTTGGATAGAGCAAGGGAAGTAGAGCAAATTCCCATGTCCTCAGCTACTATTAGATTTCCAGGGCCCCCTCCACTACACTTTGGTTTGATTTCTTGAGATTTGGTGCCTGTGGGAAGTTTTCACCCCCCACAAGCTGAATTTGACACTGCAGAGAGAGACAGAGATTGCCAACTGTTTCTGGCATCTGTGAGCTAGGTGCTGAGCGGGTTTATACCTATGTTTTCATATTCTGGGGTGGGGTCTGGCTTAGCCATGCCTCTTGGAAGCAAGCATGGTGACCAAGACCGAGGAGGATACAGCTGTTCCTCAGCCACTTCTGATCTGGCCCCAAGAAGTGATAACCTTTGTTAAACCAATGAGACCCAAAGCTTGGCAGCATGTTGTAGTCAAGTAGGAACACAGGTGAGTTCTGAAAGGTGGAAACAATACCTTCTTTAATACCAAATGTCCACGGTGGGTGCGATAGCACCAGGTTCATGCCTTAAAGCTGGTTTTTTTGGGAACCCAGCCTCTCAGTTGGAGGACCAAGGTCACACTTCCCTGCTGAGCATCCACATACCTTCAAAGCAGACTTCTCCAGGTATTGTGGTCTCTAATCCTCAACACATGGTGAGGCAGCCGTGTGCCTCAGGGAGGCCACACTGTGACAGTTGGGGATGCTGTCAGCACGAAGTCTGTCCTGTTACATGAAGTTTCACTCAAAACTGGTCTAAATTTCTCTTTCTTGAACATGTGCTATGAGACCCAAGCTGGACTCTGGAAAATGCTAATATCAGCTTCTGTGATTGAGAACCAAGCCTCAAACTCCAATCAGGAGGTTGGATCACTTTGGCAGGTCGGATTGTGAGACCTGCCTGGCAGAACCAGGCGCTACTGAGACACTTGAGTTCAGAGCCTCTGGTGAAGTGGCAGGGAGAGCCCTGGGATCTATCATCTCTACAGAGTGAAAGTTTCCTTAATCTATCAGTGAACTCTTAAATCTGCTGGATCGGTCTTAATTTCAGTGATCTAAGAATTTGGTTCTCTTCCCTTTCTCCCTCTATAGTTCACCAGCCTTAGAACTCATAGTCTCTCAGAATATAAAAAAAACTAGATTTTGTAGTAAATTAGGGTTTGCATTTTAAAGAGCTAGGGATAACTTGGTTATTTCACCAGGTTATATCTTAAAGCATTGGTACAGAAACTATAATAAAGGTGCCCCTCTTGGAGCAAATTGTATTTGCCTCTAAGATAACCAGTTTCTTTTCTTTTCTTTCTTTCTTTGCATCTATGTTATCCACATTGCTTTTGCACCTTTTCCAAAACTACAGCTCTGTGGGCTATTGAATACTGACTGTACAACTTACCTGATAGTAGCTGGTTCCATGTTGCCATGTGCCCTGACTCAAAATAATTTGTTTTTCTCCTTAGGCATTTCCATGACTATTAATATTTTAAAGTATATTTCAAAAAAAAATGTTTTACTTGTTATAGACTTTATTAATAGTCATGGGAATGTTTAAGTCATGGAAATACAGAAGAAAAAGTCTACTAAATTTAACAAGGACCCCAGAACATATTTGTACCAACTCTAGATTTCACTTCTGAGTTTGTAGTAGGATGATCCAAAATTTGCACTCAAGTGACTAAAACAGTTTATATTCTTATATGCAATAATAAAGCTTATTTTTATTAGAAAAAGAATATTACTTGGGGATTTATTCTGACAAAGTGTAAAATTAATCTTATAAAGAGGAAAATGTGAGATACAGGACATAGTGAGGAGGTAAGAAATCACCAAAACTGGTTATCTCTAACTTATTAATGTATGGTGTATGTGTCTGTGTGTGTGTGTGTCCTTGAATCTGAAACCACAAATCCAAGTGACCGCTGCCTAGGAAGCTGTGAGGTCATGAGACCAGTAGGAAGTAAGTGGGATCGTCTTGAGGGTCTCGTCTCACTCTGGTAGAAGATTCTGACTTGTGCTTGACTCAAAATAGGGAGAAGAGACATGTACATGAACGAGTTTCATGCACAGGAAAGGTGGTAGGAAGCACCATCCTGGCCAGCTGACAGGGCCTCTCAGTACTGCCCCTGGACTGGCTGGGCCACTTGTCTACAGCCAGACCTTAACCTGGCTGTGCCCTCGGTCATTCATGTCTCAAATACCATCAAGTGGCCCTTCTTGGTCTCCGTAAGAGACCTTTGCTCGCCCCAGGCCCCGCCAGGTGGATC